TGTGTGTTTCTAATTAGGGTGGTCCACAACAGACATTTTTGCATGAGATTTGGAGGATAGAAGAAAACAGTGGCTATATTGGTTTTTACACCTGCAAGGTCTGGAGCTCCTGCCTATCCACTTTGTTGCTGATCTGCTCGCTCATCTCATTGGCAGGATAGCACCCAGGCCCATAACTGCTCCACCTTGCCCTGGATCCTCCTTCAGCCTCTCTGACTCCTGGGCCAGATAGGAAAGGGCACCGACTTCTCCAGCACGACACCCACATCATCAAATTTGGAGGCAGTGGGAACTAAGGTGAGTTCCAGTTTGTTCTCGAGGGCTCCAGCTTGTGCTCATGGATTCCAACTCCTCTGTTCTCCTCCCCACTTTATATCCATCCTTCCTTCCCAACTGCCTGACCTGTGAACTTTGAGGTCCAGAATCAGATGCAAAACAACAGCCTCTTTAACAGTTACCTGACGTCAAGTCCCTGTAACAAAGTCTTTCTGCTTCTCTGATTGAACTCATACAATAGCATAGGCATATGCTTAATTTTATATGAAACTGCCAAACTGTTCTAAAATGTTTGTACTTACACTCCCAGCAGAGTATGAGAGTTCCAGTTACTTCACATCCTCATCAATATAAAAATTAGAAATTTTGTAAAAACACAGCACTGCAAACCAAAGCAGGGCAACGGGCCACCAGACATCAGCCTTTGCTCTGAACCATGCCCTTGTAGATGACAATTTCACAATATCTACCAAGATTGCAAATACATGTATTATTTTTTTAAATATGTTTTTATTGATTTGAGAGAGAGAGAGAGGAAGAGACAGGGAGAGAAACATCACTGTGAGAGGGAAACATAAATTGGTTGCCTCCCGCACATACCCTGACCAGGGATTGAACCAGCAACCTGGGCATGTACCCTGACCAGGAATCTAACCAGCAACCTTTCAGTGCACAGGACAACACTCAACCAACTGAACCACACCGGCCAGGGCAAATGTACGTATCCTTTGACTGGACAACCTCAGTTCTAGAATTTATCGTGCAGATATACTTGTACACAACATTAAATCATGAATGTGTGAGGTTCTTCATTGTTGTATTATTAATAAAAGATTAAAAATAAACCAAGTGTTCACAGAGGGCTGATTAAATTTGGTACAGACAATAGAATTTTATTTGGAAGTTTTCAATGTACCAGTACATACTGTTATGGAAAAATATTGCATTAGTCAAGGTTCTCCAGAGAAACGGAACCAATGGGAGACAGAGATAGATGAGGTAGCTCATGCAATCCTGGAGGCTGGCAAGTTGCGAGATCTGTAGGATGAGTCAGCAAGCTGGAGTCCCAGGAGATCCCATGGTTTTGTTCCAGTCCAAAGGCTGGCAGGCTCAAGACCCAGGAAGAATTCATGCTTCAGTTAAAGTTCAAAGGCAAAAACAAAACAAAACAAAACAAAAAAGCCCATCTCCCAGTTCAAAGGCTGTCAGGCAGGAGGAATTCTCTCCTACTCAGGGAAGACACAGCTTTTTTATTCTATTCAGGCCTTCTTCAACTGATCGGAAGAGGCCCCCTCACATCAGGGAGAACAATCTGCTTTACTCAGACCACCCATCTAAATGTTAATCTCATCCAAAAACGCCCTCACAGAAAACACCCAGAGTAACATTTGACCAAATGTCTGGGCACTCTGTGGCCCAGTCCAGTTGGCACACAACATTGACCATCACATATCTAAAAGAGACCGTGTTGAGTGGAAAATCAAGATACAGAAAAGAGCCTTTTGCCTTGTTTTGCTACACAGAGAGCAAGATGGGTCACCAGCAACTCTACTGGAGCCATCTGAGGAAATTCCACCAGGGTTCTCCTTCTTGCTGCGGCTGCTCAAACCACCACACTGTGATCTGGAAATACGGCCTCAACATGTGTCGCCAGTGTTTCTGTCAGTACGCAAAGGACATAGGCTTCATTAAGTTGGACTAAGTGAACTTCATGAATGGGTCATTCAAGACATCTATCTTATGACAGAATGCTATCTTTTTGTACATAAAATAATTTTTTAAATATATTTTATTGATTTTTTACAGAAAGGAAAGGAGAGTTAGAAACATCGATGAGAGAGAAACATCGATCAGCTGCCTCCTGCACACTCCCCACTGGGGATGTGCCCGCAACCAAGGTACATGCCCTTGACCGGAATCGAACCCGGGACCCCTGAGTCCGCAGGCCGACGCTCTATCCACTGAGCCAAACCGGTTAGGGCTATAAAATAATTTTTAAAAAATACAGAAAAGAGTGGATAATCTGCTTCCTCTTTATATTAAAAAAGATGGGGGTAAGATAACAATAAATGTGCATATTCGCTTGTATTCACATTAAGATACTATGGAAGAATATGCAAAAACTAAAGAAAAAGGTTATCTATCGGAGGTGTAGGGGACCAAGGAGAGTTTTCACTTTTTATGTTTTTGAAAAATGTATATTTTAAATATTTTTATTGATTTCGGAGAGGAAGGGAGAGGGAGAGACAGAAACATCAATGATGAGAATCATTGATTGGCTGCCTCCTGCATGCCCCCCACCAGGGATTGAGCCTGCAACCTAGGCATGTGCCCTGACCAGGAATGGAATCTTCAACCTCTTGGTGCATGGGTCGACGATGCTCAACCACTGAGCCACACCAGGCGGGCTTATGTTTTATAATGATGTGTTTGATCTATTCAAAATATTAAGTAACCAAAAAATGTTAAAATGCCTTTTTACATGCTTTTCCCCTTCTAGGATTGTGAAAATGGGATAAAAATCATGTTTTATAGTCATCCTTGTGTTCCTGGTATTTAGTCCATAGTAGACACTCAATAAACATTTGAGGAATTAATGAATGAATGAACCAGAAGAAATCTGATTTAGTGTGGATCAGAAAGGTGATAGGGGAGTGAGGAGCAGAGTGGGAAAAATATGGTAGTGGCTGTCAGAAGGGAAGTTTAGAGAACAAGAGAGATGTTTAAAGAAGTGTTATAGACATAATGTGTGATGTAATCCACCTTCATATTTGTTCCCAAGAAACATTCAATAAAATTCTCCACTGCTTTTGGGGTTTGATCTGTAGGGTTTTGAGATATTAAAACAGACTCAGGCATATCTGGATAGTAGGAATAGGGTGGGGGGGACTCAAGGAGGAAGAACCTCCAGGACCTGGCCTAGCCTCTGCTAATGGAGGAGGTCAGCAGACTCTTAAGGGGGTAACCCCAATCGCTGAACCTGCATTCTGGGTCCATTGTGCTCCTGTCAGGCAGAACCATGCCCTACCCCTACCCTGATCCTCAGACCCCTCTACAAACCATGCCTTCCAGCTCCACACACAGGAGCGTACAAATACAGTCCATGGATGAAAGGTTTAGAGAACAGAACACTGAAGACCCAATGCAGATGATGGAGAGAGAACAGTGCTAGATTGGGTCAGTATGTGTGCAGGGCTGCAGTTGATTTGGGTAAGACAGAGGGCCAGGCTGCAGCCAGTGTTTAACCTAAGACCAGGCTGAGTGCAAGGGAAGGGCACAGACCAAGGTCATGAATAGTTATTAGTTTTTTATTTGTATTAATTTAGGAACTCAGGTAAATAGAATTGGATACCACATAATCCTTGTTTGTTTTTTAATGGTTCAGAACAATAAATAACCTCACACTTTCTCCCCAGTTGTCCATAAACAGCCCATTTGTGAACACTTGTAAACCCACCACTTGCCCCAAGAACTAAAACATTACAAATAACTTATATCTACTAATGTGCCTCTTGCATCTCTGCCCTCTGCTTTCTCTCAGAAGTAACCCCTATCCTAGATTTTATCTTCTGTTGCTTTTTCCTCCTTGTAGCCAGCTTCTAAAATGGCTCCCATTGATCTCTCCCTCCTGGTATTCAAACCTATGTGTTCCTCTCCCCTTGAATGTTGGCTGGATCTAGTGACTTATTTCAAATAAATAGAATATGACAGATGTGATGGATGTCACTTCTGTAATTGCATTAGATAAGACTATAACTTCCACCTTGCTAGCATCTAACTCTCTCCTTTGCTGGGTGATGAGGAAATGAGGGCAGCCACCAGCCAACAACCAGCAAGAAACTGAAGCCCTCACTCCAACAGTCCAGAAGAAACTGGACTCTGTCAACAACCAGATGGACTTGGAAGTGAGTCCCTCCCCAGTCAAGCCTTCAGATAAGACTACACCTCTGGTTAACAATTTGATTGTAGCCTTGTGAGAAACCCTGAGGCAGAGGACCCAGCTAAGCCATCCCTGGACTCTTGAGCAACAGAAAATATGAGATAATAAATGCTGTTTTAAGCCTTTAGGTGTGTGGTGATTTGTTACACAGTAACAGATAACAGCTCTTTTGCTATTACAAAATGTGTTGCTATGAACATTGCTATACATGTGCCCCAGAACACAGAACACGAAGCTTAAGTTTCTCCTGGGTATATGCTGCATATATGCCTAGGAACAGAACTTTAGGGGGCTTAGGATTTACAAATGTTCAATGTTACTGGTCAGAGTTAGGGTCACACATGGCCATGGTATCTCAGTCAGGGTTGGGAGTCAAGCTTGTCTTCAGCCCATAAAACTTGGGATCAGTCTGTGAGCAGGGTTGAGTCATACAGAGGACACATTTAGGAGTCAGTCCACGGGCATGGTTTAGGGTGAGTATGTGGCTACATTTGGAGAGAATCTGAAATGTGGGTTTGGACAGAGTTAAAGGAGACAGTGAGGGTAGATTTGGGGGTCAGTCTAGTAAGGCCAGTGTTAGAAGTCAGACTCTCCTAGTGCAGAAGACCTGACAATGTGTTATCATCAGCCTACAAAGCAGTGGCCACCCAGGGCCCAGCTGCCCACAAGGCAAGACCCATTCTGGGCATAAAAGGCCCTCAAGGGGTGAAGGGTGCAGCAAAAGGGAGGCAGGACCTCACTGCCCACAAGGATCCAGGCAGAGAGAGAAGGTTAGCACAAGAGAGAGAGCACAATGCTTTTAATGGGGGCAGCCTTGTCCCATATACCCCAAATAGTGTCAACTCTACCTCATGGGAGGGGAGGGCGATTTGGTATAGGCACAGCCGATGTCTTCCCACACCTGGCTGAACCCCTCCCCCTCCCTTCCTCTCCAGCAGCTGCCCTCCTCCCGCCTCCAAATGGGTCCCAGGTGAGCACGCAGGAGAGGCCAGGGACTCCCTCACTTCCCCAACGGCCCAGGGCACAGAGAACTAGATGGAGACATCACTGTCCTCACAGCTGGATAGGGACCCGGTTCTAGTGGTGCGGACCCAGTGGGGGGACCATCCCCCAAAGCCCAGCACAGGGAGCTCCAAAATGGAGCGCCTGGTGTCTCTCACTGCTTTGGGGTACACACCAGGCCTCCGCACACGGGTTCTGGGTTCTGGAAAGTGGTCCATTCTCCTGATCCGGATGGAGTGGGAGGAGGTGGCTCAGTTCCGTGCTCAGACGTAAGGGCTCCTGTCCCACCGCCCACCCACCATGCTCACCCTCACCCCGAGGGTGGGGCTCCCAGAGGCTCTTAGGAGCAGCTGGACCCGCCCCCTTCCCGCCCCGTTAGTCCGCGTTCTGTGGGTGCATGGGCTGTTCTGTGGGTGTGTCGGCCTTTTCAGGGCTCTGGCAAACACTGGGGCATCCCTGCGTCCTGAGCAGCTGCTCAGCTCACCGCTGCTTCCGTTCCGCCTGCTGCAGCCGGCGGGAGAGGTCGTCGATGCGCACGTTCTTGAGCTGGAGCAGGTGCTCTAAGCGCCGCACCTTCATCTGCAGGACCTGGGCGGCCGCGCAGAGGTCAAACCCAGGGACCCCCTGCCCTCATCCCGTCCTCCGCAGGCCCCAACCCCCCGCACCTCCCAGGGCTCCCACCTGCACAGTCTCCTGCGAGGCCAACAATTCCTGCTCCTTCTCGGCAATCTGGAGGATGACGCTCGGGTCGCCGTGCAGCACCTGGCTATACCCAGGACGCCGGGGCACCGGCTGCCGGCCCCCCCTGGGGTGGGAAGCAGCTTAGGGGAGGCCTGGCCCTCATCTTTCCAGGGCCCCTCGGCCAGGTCTCCCCACTCCCCTAGCCCATTCCTGCCTTCCCTACCTCCTTACCTGGTCTGGTAAGGTCAGGAACCCCCAGTTTCCTTACCTGAGCTGCCCCCCTCCCTGGGTGTCCTGGGCACCTTCCCCTCGGGGCTTCTGGGACAAACCTGAGAAGAGGTAAGTGGTGGAGTAACCCTTCTGGAGTCCTATTTTCCTGTCTTTCCCTCCTCCCTCCCCCCAAGGAAGGAAAGGAGAAAAGCTCCCCTTGGGAGGGAGGAAAAGTAAAAGCCACTTTACCCACATCCATGTAGCCACTGCCATCCTGGGGAACCAGCTCCTAAAAGAACCCCGGGGTCCACTGTGAGCTCCTGCTCGCCCATCCCCAAAGGGCCCCATGTCCCTTCCACCCACCGTCCCCCAGGCCAGGCTCCCTTTAACCAGGCACCCTTCTTCCGCACTTATCGCCACGGTGGGGACTTTCTGCAGGCTGGGAAGCTCCCTCAGAGCAGGGGGGGAAGAAGCCTGAGTAGGTGGCACCTGTAAGGAGCCCGAGCCCTGCTTCCTGCGCCTCCGCCGCTCCTCCAGGCGCTGCCTCAGTGGAATGAGCACCAACTCCACCACGCCGGGGGTGCACTGCACGATCTGGTGCATCACGTCCTCCGGCACCGAAAAATTCAGCTTGTTCAGCACCTTCCTGGAGGGTAGACACGGGTAGAAGAGGGGTGCGGCAGCTGCTGTGCTAAGTGCACAGCCCTGGGGGGATGGAAGATCACCGTACCTGGGCCCTGTTCTTGGGTGTCCCAAGTTACCTTTCACCTCCCCAATAGAAGAGTCCCTTAATTTTGTCACCAGACAATTCTGTCTGCCTGGGCTGTGGAGACCATAGGAGGTGGAGGGGCTGGGGCAGCCCTTCCTGGGAGCCCAGGGTAGGGGCTAGAAATCCTGCTAGTGCACCCAGATATTCTGCTACCTGTTCAGGTGACCCCAGTTGCTGAGCTTCTGCTGGAGAGAGTTGGCAGGGACATAATTGTGCATCTCCACCATCTTGGGAAAGTAAAACTTGATGACTTCTGCAACCAGGACTGAAGGAGTAGGAGTGGGAGCAGACATGAAAGAGGGGGGGATGGGAAAGGGAGAAGAGGAAGAGAGAACAAATGGGTGGAATGGGAGAATCATGGGTGGCAGAGTGGTGGGGCCAAGTGGAGAGGTGGAGATGTGGAAATGGAAAAGGATGATAGGAAGAGAGGGGCGAAAGAGGACAGGGGAGGGTGGGGAAAAGGAAGTGAGATCAGTGATCAGCTGGAGACTAAGCCTCCAGCATACTCCAGAGGGGCTACATTCCTTCCCCAATAACTCAGGGCATTTGAAAACTGTGGTCTCTGGTATCCTAATAGAGAAGGAATCTCCATGGGAGCCCTTTAGGATCCTGGGTCTCCATCATAGGCATAAATATAGACACACACACACACACACAACACCAAAGTCCCAGGAGAAAGTCACAGACCCACACAGACATATGTGATAAGATCCCTCTACAGATATGCACATAGGATAGAATGTGTAGATACACAGGATACATACCTGTCCAGACACACACAGCACACACACACACACTACACACACGTCCAAGCACACATATAGCACACAGAGAGATGGACACATACACATATTTCCATCACTGGAGTTCCAAGAGACAGTCACCAACATACACACAGAAGCACAAAGAGTCACACATTAAAATCCCAGGAGACCATCTTAAACACACAGACACCTTCACAATCACAAAGCAACACATATACATACAAGACTCCCCTACATACATACAGGACAAAATATGTCAATACACATAGGAGCACACACTCTGACTCCCATAAGATAAACATATAGAATATAGCAATGTGCATGCACACACGCAGAGATGCAAAAATACATACACAGATATGCACCTTCGTCATTAAGTCCCATGAGAGAGTCACTGTCTCACACACTCAGACTCATTTCTGCAACTGAAGTCCTAGGAGATAGACAACACCACACACGTACACAAGCGTAAAGATATGTTTGCACAAAGACCCCTTACACACGTGCATACAGGACAGAAACGTGGACATACACAGGCGCACACCTCCGTCACTGAAGTCCCGGGAGAGATTTCTCTTGGGCCGGGACAGAGGGATGTTGTCTATCCACAGGTACAGCTGGTGCAGCGCCTCCTCGTCCACACTGCCCGCCATTGGCACCCTCGGCAAAGGGAGGCTGATCCAGCCGGCAGCGTCCAGTCCCAAACTCACGGCAGCTCAAGCGTCTCCTCCCTCGCCGCCGAGGGCGTCCAGACCCGCTTCTGCCTCTCTAACCCGGAGACTCCCGTCCTAGCTGGGAGAGGCCATATTGTTTTCTGAAACCATGACAACCATCCTTGACTCCAGAGAGCAGAGGCTTCTGGGAGTTGTAGTTTTTCCCGGTTACCTCCTCTCAGGCCTCCAGATTTGAAAAGGCGGTTATAGGTGGCCTTGTCTTCCCCGTCTCCCAAGAAGGAATAATTTTTGCCCACGCCACCTGAGGACCAGCTACTGGCTCGCTCTGGGTCCTTCCAAAGTCAACCAGGCCCGCAGAACCCTGCACCAGCATCCCCAGGACTGGGATCCCCCTTCTGGATTATGTAGCGGTCAGTCCCAAGTGAAGGCAGCATCTGCTGCTTCCCATCTGGACTCTGTGATAGTACCGCCTTGCTGGATCCCTCCTCAAAGCTCTGTGCTCATAGGCCCATCCCCACCCCCCAGCCCCTCCCATCCCCAGCCCAGTCCCAGCAGTATCCTGGTGGGGCATTTAGTATGAAACCCAGACTCCCAGGGAGAACACCAGAGCTCAAGGCCAGTGCCTTGGGCAGGTCATTTAACTCCTCCCTATTAACCTCCTTTGTAAAATACTGGTAGTTCTCACCTATTTGTTTCAATGGGGTAATAGGGAGGAGAATAGGAAGGGTATTTACAGAAGACCTGTATTTGTATGGGGACTGCTGGAACAGTTTATAGATATAAGAGCTGCAAGAACTCCACATCCCTCATCTCCATCCCAAAAGCTATTCTTTCATGGGTTAGAAATTGACCTCAGCAACCAGTTCCATTTCAAGAGGGCTACCTTTAGGAGGATTAGGAAGATGGGTGCTTCCTTAATGAAAGGACGCAGAGTATAAGTAAAGAGCAACTTCAAGGGTCACCCTGGGGAGAACACTTGCTTCCACACTAGCGGTGTAGCTTTGGGCGAATTACTGGACCCTCCGTGTGCCTGTTTTCTCATGGTTTTACCTACCTCATAAGGGCGTTGTAAGCATCTAAAGTGCTTAGCACAGCACCTGAGATGTGGTGTTATCAAAAATTAGATGATCTGCCCTAGCCAGTTTGGCTCAGTGGAGAGGGTCAGCCTTCGGACTAAAGGGTCCCAGGTTCAATTCCAGCCAAGCGCACATGCCGGGGTTGCAGGCTTGATTCCCCCCAGTAGGGGGCGTGCAGGAGGCAGCCAATCAATGTTTCTCTCATCATTGAGGTTTCTATCTAGCTCTCTCCCTTACTTTCTGAAATCAATAAAAAAATGTATATTAAAAAAAATGAGGTGATCTCAGTTGCAGCAAAAGAAGTGTTCTTATAGGCAGCAGACAAATGGAAAGGATTTGCCTTGTTATTTGAGGTAAGGGACTTGGATTGGCCAGGGCCACCTGGGGAGAAGGCTACTGCTCCCACCTACTTACTCCAAAGCAGGCCAAGAGGTAGGTGGTCTCCCTCATGACTTTCTGGTCTCCTCTCCAAGGCATTGATGGGGGTGGGGGGAATGACAGTAAGGGGAATCCCTACTACTGTTTGCTGTCACTTAGTTTCAAAGCCTTCCAAGGCCTAGAAGGGATCTGTGTCAGGAGTGAGGAAAGCCAAGGGTGGAGCCGTGACCCCACTTTCTATTTTAAAGTTGTGAATGAAAAGGGGCCACATGCTAACCTGACTAACTCAGGCAAGGCCTGCGTGGCGGCCTTGCAAACTCAGAGACCTAACGTAACCACAAAGGATGGTCTGAAATCAAAACTTTTTAAAATAAAAAGCAGTCTATGGTGGATAGTCATGTCCTAGGCCGGTATATTCCCTGACAAAGATCAACTTTGATCTTAACTGACCCTATTGTCTTTTTGCATCTACAATAAACATACCTTTGAAAAGTCAGGGTAACTTGTAACTTCCTTTTTTCTGGGCCCCTCAGGGCACAACCAGTGCACCTGGGCGAAACTACAAATTACCTCATTGTTATCGTGTTAATTGTTGACTGTTAACTATCCTGTATCCACCCATGTAAAAAGAAGCACGTGTCTATCCTTTTACTTTTTACCCAATCCCAGAGGTTTCCCTGCTTTGCTTTCTCCTGCCTTCCTAATCTATCACCAATAGATGTCATGTCACCCACTTATGCCTCCTCCTTTGATTGTAATTTATAAAACAAGGCAACAAACTGCCATTCTCTGGAGCATTATCTCAGTATGTTGAGATTCTGCTTCCCAGTAATTTGGCTCAAATAAACTCACAAAAATTATTTACAGATTTGAATGTTTCTTCGTTAACAAAATCATACATAGAGGCCTTGCCTTTCTAGAAGAGACCACACCCAGGGCAGGCAGGAGACAAGATTACCTGGATAGCCCCCCTTCCCCCTTTACATTCTAGGGTGGAGAGAGGAACTGCGAGGAGGTGGGGGTGGGGAGGGAACCAGAGGGGTGATATGCCAGCCCTAGCCAAGGTGGGAAAACCGGTTTGGGGCCCAGAGCTCCCTTCCCTGCACGAGCTCAGGCCCTGCCCTAGGTGGAACCGCTGGGGCCTGAAGGCCTCAATGCTGGAGGGCCAGGAAGGCGAGACTGGCCCTGAAAAAAAGAAAGGGGTTAGGATCATCAAGGGGCCTGTCTTCACCTTTGGACTGGAGGGCACCGCAAAGGGAGTTGCTAATTCATTTTCAGTTTCTTGGGGGGTGCAATCTCTCCCCAGCAATATCACCTTTCTCCTGCCACTGTCTCCAAGGACAGCCACTAGGCTTGGAGATGCCCTCTTGAGGCACCTGTATGCCCCTCCAAACTCCAACCGGTAGCATAGGAGCTGCCCTAACACCCCTTTCTTTCTGCCCTCTGGCCCCACTCCTTAAACGACTTTGAATGAGCCTTGAGAGGCCTAGTTCCCGGGTGCCTACATAGTTCAATTTAGCCCAACAGAGACTGCAGCTCCCTCCCTCCTGTCCGTCAACTGACCCCAAAGCAGTAGAAGGCCTGGCTTCCTCAAAGCCATGCCCAGGCAGGTGCACTGAAGACCCCTTCCTCCCCAAGTCTAGATCGCATTTAGACAGAGGTGGCCTCTCACCCTAGTCAGGGCCTAGGCTGTGGCCACTCACTCAACACTTGCTTTAATGTCCCACCAGAGCAAGGAACAAAGGAAACTGGGAAAGTATGTGTCCCCAAAACAGACGCAAGCCCAAACCATGAAGGATGATGCACCCTTGGCTGTTAAAACATTCACCCCACAAAAAGGGAGTGGATGGATTTATTGAATTCATACTGGGAAAGGAGCAGCTGGACAACTGGACTCTGGGCCCAGACCCAGGCCCCCTGCCCAAGATAGGACCCTGCCAGGAGGAAGGAGAGGCATGGGGCCTGCAGCTGCCCACAAGAGAAATGCCCATTTTCACTCCCCTGGAGGGCCTCTTAGGAACCTCCAATCTGTTGAGAAAACCAAGGGCCAAAGTAACATGGGCTGGGCCAGAGAAAGGGATTGGGGAGGTGGGAAAGCAGGCAGAAGCAGGCTTAGGAGCCTGTGGTTAGACTGTGCTTCTTGAGGCGGTCTGGGGGCAGGGATGGGGGGCTGCCAGCCTCATAGGGGCCTAGGCTGGACCTTCCTCTGAAGCCCTTCCCAGAATGGCTTTGGGGTCCCCCCCACCAAAGACCTGGTGTGGACGGCAGAGGGGAGAGGCACTGTCTGGCCGGGAGCCTCCAGGGCCCATCCCTGGTGGCTGCTGTGGCCTAGTCCACTGATGGCATGGTGTGGTAGCACCGGACAGCTCCCCACCTGGTCCCCCAAGTTCAGGGGCAAATGGGGAGGAAAGAGGACTCTGAGAAAGAGGCAATAAGCAGGCAGTGAGGCTGACCCCAACCCTGGGCCCTACCAAGGTGACTGGGCTTGTTCACAGGGCCTGGGGAATATCGCTAAAGTGATGGTAGCATCTGGGGCTCCCTACTCTGGCTCCATCCACAGCAGCTGCCCAGAGAGTCCTTTTGCCCTGGGCTGGTGCTGCCACATCTGGGTTGAGGGCATGGCTAGGCCCAGTGGCTCAGCTTTGATGTCCAAGACCCCGAACTCCTGCCTGCCTGGCATGGTTCTTCCTGGTCACATGGACCAGATCATGTTCCAAGTGGAGGATGTGGCTCTGCACACGATCATCGATGGGGAAGGAGGTCAGATACCTCTTTACCATAGCGAAGTAGGCCATGGCCTCCCCAAAGCTAGGCACAGGCACCTCATCACCATCCTCATCTTCATCGTCTTCATCGTCATCGTCTTCATCATCGTCCTCCTCTTCCTCACTGTCCGACTCAGAGTCTGCCTCACCTTCCAGGAAATGGAGGGTAGGGTACTGGGCCTCCTCCTGGGCACCATAGCCTCCGAAGCTGCCACCGGCCTCCATTACACCCTGGGCCCAGTCCTCTGCCTCCAAGCCCTCAGAGGAGCTCTCCTCTTCCTCCTCCTCCTCCTCCTCCTCTTCCTCACTGTCATCAACATCAGCCTCCTCTTCCACCTCCTCCTCCTCCCCCAACTCCTCTCCTTCCCCCCCTTCCTCCTCTTCCTCCCCTTCTTCCTCCTCCTCCTCTGCCTCCTCTTCCTCCCCTTCTCCCTCCTCTTCCTCTTCTTCTTCTTCCTCCTCCTCTTCCTCTCCCTCGCTCTTGAGGGCAGTGGTGATGGTAGCATTTGGGCCACCCCCGAAGCCAGCCTCACGAAAGCAGGCAGCTATGTCAGAAGGCTCCACTGCCTGCCAAGCTGCAGCCACGAAGTGCAGGGCCTCCATGAGGACCAGCTGCAGGCCTGAACGATCTTGGCCCTCTAGCGCAGCCATGGCCTTGAGCAGCATAGCCTGGCGGTAGTGACCCTTCACCTGTTGGACAACTCCCCGCTCCAGTGGCTGCACGGTGCCCGGCGGGAAGAAGGGCTAGCTGTACATGCCGGAGGCCTGAGGTATCCACGGACTGTGCAGCCAGTCGACCAGCAAGATAGCAAGGACTCGGCGAGACTCTGCAGCCATGCCGGT